AAATTAATAAAATTTTAAAAAATAAAAAGACTGGCTTTGATGGTCCTGTAAACCTGCTCATGATTTATTTCCTGGGTAGTGTGGGCTCCAAAGGTCCATGTAAATGTATTCAGGTGCAAACCAAGCCATTGTGTCAAAAGAGCAAGCAATAAACACTCGGGTCTGTTAGCCCCAAAGAAATTCAGAGATGAGCGGTGAACAAAGATCAGTACCAGAGACCAGCACCCAGCAGAATTAACCTACGGTGTCTGGTACCAACTCGTGGCAGCCAGTAGAGGCAGTGACCAGCAGCCAGCTGTGCCAGCTGTTGCATCCAGTACCATCCAGCATCCTCTGGTGGCCTCAGAACTGCTAGGAGATCTACACTTACTGATTCATAATTGTCATCTGAATCAAGCATAAGAACCCTCTGCTGATTGGCAACAAAGGGAGAAGGCAAGGTGCAAAGTCGCAAAGCTCTCGAGCAAGGAAATGACGTCTCTGACAGGCTGGGGGAGGGGGGCTGTAGTTGGCGAGAAGGACGTCCACTGCCGCAACGGAGGGGAGGGCAGGAGCAAGGAGACGTGCACACACGTCAGAGGGGTAGGAAAACCAGTTGCGGGGGACTTTCAACATTTTGGTTAAGGATTGAAGGTCATTTCTAGGGGCACAAGAGGGGGAGCAGGAACCAGGGTGCAGGCAGAACAAGGTAAAATTGGTTTTCCACCAAGTTGCCTTTTTCCCTTCAGCAACGCACATACTTTAACTGGTAACGTAATATTCTTTTAGAAGTCAGTAAACAGGATTTGTTTTACGTTGTTTTCACAAGAGTCTTCAGTTACAATGTCCGCACAGAGTATCACATACCACGTGGTGCCATCTTAAGCTGTTCTTCTGTCTCTGGGAGGAAATCACTGGCCAGGGGAAAAGGAGGAAACTAATTAAAAGCAATGAACAGAATCTCTTATCACCTTACTGAGACCTCATCCCTAACCCTGAAGCTAGTGTAACCTTGATAGTGTAGCCCAGCCAGGCAAAACACACACACACACACACACACACACACACAGACACAAACAACCCCACGTCATTTATTCTGAACATAGAGAGAGAGGTTCAACAAAAAGAGAATATGTAACACAGTTCTTTTTTTTTTTTAGTCTTTTTGAGACAGGGTCTCACTGTGCAGCTCAGACAGGCCTTGAGCTCACTTTGTAGCCCAGGCTGGTCTTGTACTTGCAATGATCCTCCTGCCTCAGCCTCTTGAGTGCTGGGATTACAGGCGTGTGTCACCACGCCTGGCAAATTCTTTTTTTTTTTTTTTTTTTTTTGGTTTTTGGTTTTCTCTGGTACCGGGAACCGAACTCACAACCTTGCGCTTGCCAGGCAGGCGCTTTGCCGCTGAGCTAAATCCCCAGCACCCTGGCAAGTTCTTAATATGAATTGCTTAGAGAGGAAAATTTATGCAACTTTTGAGGCAAAAAGTTTGGTACAATTTTAAATCTAGAGCTGGGTGTGGTGGTGCACGCCTGTAATCCCAGCACTCGGGAGGCTGAAGCAGGAGAATCATTGTGAGTTCGAGCCCAACATGGGCTACAAAGTGAGCTCAAGGCCAGCCTGAACTGCACAGCAAGACCGTGTCTCAAAAAGACGCGCCCCCCAAAATCTATTCTTGATAACAATTTTTAATAAAATCAATAGTTGATGTCTTCATGTGATACACAGAAAATCCAGCCCCCTGTGGAAGTTCAGTATAAGAATTATATATATTGAAATTGTTAGTTTCTTTTATTTTCACAGACAGAGACTGATACATGACACAGGTTTTCTCTTTCTGCCTATTGTCCCAAAGTCTTACTTGTTTCTGGATTCCTTGATGACTTTCCCTCCTGACAGGGGTGAATTAAAGTCCTCTGCTATGATGCTACAATAGAGTATTAAGCATTAGTACAGAAAAATGTAACTTTTATATAGTTTTCATTGCTCTGTTGCTTTTGACTCTATGACATGATAAGATACGGAGACTGCATTAATTTTCTGTTGCTGTTTATCAACTTACCACAAACTTAATGGCTTAGAAACCTCCATTTATGATTTCATAGTTTCTATAGGCCGGGAGCTTTGGTCTCAGGCAAATCCTCTGCTCTGGGTCTTGCCCACCTGAAGTCAAGGTGTTAGCTGGGACTGCTACTCCGTCTGAGGCTCAGTGGCCTCTTCCAAGGTTGTTTGGATCGTTGGCAGAATTCATGATCAGACCAACAGCCCTGTTCTCTTGTGGGCTGTGGCTGAGAGCATCTCTCCGCTGATGGAAGCTGCCTACAGTCCCTTGCCAGGAGCCCCTTCCATGGGTCCTCTCCCACTACCTGGGCCTGTCTCGTTTCCAACAATCTCCACTGAAGAATTCAAAGGCCCCGCAAGTGGTGGTGCAGGCCTGTAACCTCAGCACTCAGGAGGCTGAGGCAAAGAGGACTGCTGTGAGTTCGAGGCCAGCCTGGGCTACATAATGAGTTCAAGTCTGCCTAGACTACACAGTGAGACTCTGTCTCAAAAAAAAAAACAAACAAATAAACAAAAGAATCCAAGGTCTCCTGTGGTGAGTTCAGTCCCTCTCAGATGATTTCCCTCTAGATTAACTCAAGGACAGTTGATTAGTAATCTTAATTATATCCACAAAATCTCTTTGCTATGATGCATAGTATAATCATGAGGGTAATTTCTCATCCTGTTCTGAGCTTCAGCCTGTATCTCTCCTTGACTTTTAGCTTCAAGGAAGAAATCAATCATGGTTTATTATATAGCACTTACATTCAGTTCAGTAACATAACTTAACTGTCTTTTATGCTTTAGTGCTATATATTTTTTCTTTTTTTTCTGTCTTTTTGAGACAGGGTCTCACTATGCAGTTCAGGCTGGCCTTGAGCTCACTTTGTAGCCCAGTCTTGTCTCGTACGTGCAACGATCCTCCTGTCTCAGCCTCCCAAGTGCTGGGATTACAGGCATGCGCCACCACACCCGGCCCACTTTTTCTTTTTGATTAAAAAATAATAACACCCTCGTAAATCCCCTGCTTTGTAGGGGGAGGGCAGAAGCCCCCTTTCAGTCGGGAGCAGGGCTGTTGTCGTGTCACATTTCCCTGGGAACTGTGCTCAGGGCCTGGCACAGGGCAGCCAGTGTGGAAAGGGCACTCGCTCCGGGCAAGAAGCTGAAGGGAGACAGATAAGAGGGCGTGGCAGAAAGGACAAACTGGAGAGCTGAAGGAAGGCAGCGAGGACCCAGGAGCCTGATCACTATGCTGGCAAAACATCGGAGGGGGTGACCATGTAGAGTCAGTTGAAGAGGTAACTTGAAACGGAAGGAAGCTTCCCAGGGACTCATCAGGACACCTCGGACCTTGCTCCTGGGCAGGTGAGGAGGGAAGGGACCAGAGGCAAGGGCACTGAGCGCTCCGTTCAAATAGATTCTGGGGTTTCTCACTCATCTCTTGCTGGCTAAACTTCCTTTTTATTAGCTTATACAAGAAGCACTCTTAGGAATAATGTTTCTTGAGTTGACAGACAAGAAATCCATGTCACGTGGACCCACATCCTAGGATGACAGGAAGGAGCTCAGAGGACTCAGACCCTCTCAAGATTTTCAGGGGCTGGGGGTACAGCTCAGTGGTAGAGCACATGCTTAGCATGCCCAAGGAGGACTAACTGGCCTCCTTCTTTAGTCCCCTCCGAACTCTCTGGATCTTCAGTTAGAGGGAACTTTGCAGACCACATAGTCAGCCAGGGCCTGGACTTCTGGGGCTCCGGGGTCGGCTTAGCTGCTGCCTAGCTGCCCCTGGGCCCCACCTGACCATGTCACACACTGCAGGCAAAGAGCAATTTCTCTGCTCTATTAGCATCAGGCTTTCCTGCCTACCGACAAGGTGAGAATCCGGTTTGCTCAGACCCCTTCCTCTAGCTGCATTATTCCTCCAGGTGTAGCGGGATGGCCAGCTTGACCTCACGCTCCTCCACCCTCCCTACCACGCTCCCTCTGGTTCATTCACCCCCCTGCCACATTTCCCAGGCTCTACCACACGTGCACACCCCGGAGGGGCCCACAGGGGGACAGGCTGCCCACCGGGAGGGGCGAGCCAGGCTCATAGAGGACCACTGCTGCTGGGTGAGCTCCCAGGAAGGCCTGCAGGCCTGGGGGCAGTGGCTGAGGCCCCACTCACACCCGATGACACCCTGTACACACCTGATGAATCCCTGCCACCTGGTCCTTCCACCAGGCTCCAACTGCCACAATGGCCCTCACAGGGGTTCTTAAAGGGGCCGCTCCCAACCCACGCCCTGGAAGGCGGGGCCAAGCGAGTCTAGGGGGCAAAAGTCTTGCAGTTTAAATCACAGCACACCCTCATCAGTAACACCCCCTCCTATGATCAACAGAAACCACTGCATCCTACATTGCTCTGTGATGCTAAAATGTCCGTTAGATCATTTATAATTTCATAATTTATTTTATTTACATGCAGTTCAGTAACATAATTTTACTTTCCTTTATGCTTTAAAATAAAGGTCTATTAAATGTATCCTGACTTGCTTTTTCAGCTTCTCAGTTGATCAGAACACAGATCAGCCTAAGGCGAGGAGCCCCTCAGGGCTGAATTTAGGTGAGCTGCAGGTCAAATCCCCTGGGTAGCGCGGCAGTGTTAAGGGCGAGACGTGCGCTGAGGTTAGGGGTGTTGGTCCTGTCACCACCTGGTCCTGCTGGTTTCCAAGTCACCTTGGAAGGTGGGCTTCTCAGTCAAAAAAAGTTGAGAAATGGGGCTGGGATGTAGCTCAGGAGTGGGGTAATCCAGCCTCAGCCCTTGAAAAAATCAAACTGAAAATTAAAATTAAAAAAGAATTTGAGAAACAGTTGTGTGTGCCCCTCTGGAGATGCACAAATCATATTAGCATATTAAAGGCTCTGAAAAGCCCTGCAGGCGGGAGAGCCTTTCGGCTGGGACCTAGCAACTCCCTAACTCTTTCAACCTAAGTTTTTGTTTGTATTAGTACCCCAGGTACTGCAGTGCCGGGATTTCAGGAAACACGCGTGGGCTGCAGTCGGGGAAACGGTTTATTCTCTTCTCTGAGACTCAATCTCCCCAGCTGCATGAAAGCAGAGCAAAGGCCAGAACCCAAGCTGACCTGGGCCTCTTTTGCTTCATCCTAATTGGTCTTTGTCCACGACGCCTAAGTAGGCAAAAGAGAGGGGAAGACTCTCAGAGAGAGGGAGGAAGCCCACATTTGAGACATGGGAATGAACATCCCACTCTGAGGTTCAGAAAAGGGTAGCGACTTTCTTGAAGGCACACAGCAATGTGACCCTAAACCTTCCAGGTCCTAAGCTCCCCTTCTGTCCTCGGCCATGCCGGTACTTCCTGAGTGGCGCAGCTCATGGAATGTCTACAAAGAAGCTCTCCAGAGGCTCTTCCTGGCTGGCCTTAGCTTGGCTAGGTATGACCAAAGTGACCCCAGCTGGCCAGGCTCCGATGTCCTGTCAGCTCCATGTGGTACCTGCCAAAGGCAGACTGGTAGTGGTGGTGGTGGTGGGGTCTGAACTGAGGGGTGCTGAGAGCAAGGAGGACTCTGGAGTTGCTAAGGACCTGGACATGCTGAGAAGGCCCTGCCCTGACGTCTGCGGGCTTGGTTTCAAGGCCCAGCTCTACCCAGCCTCCGTTTTCTCAGCTGTCAGGAGCCACTGCGGCCTGCAGCTGGGCAGAAATCGAACATGGCCATGTTTCAAGAGGCCTAAACACTAAAGTTTTTAAAAATCCTACCACCCCTTAAAAAGTGCATTCTAACACTGCAGGTTCACATCCTGGCTCTACCAGATCAGCATGTGTACCCTTATGCATGGTGTTTGCTTTGCTGTGCCTCACACTCTTCATCTGTAAAATGGGATAAAATCTTGTACTTGCATCTGGATGCTTTTGGTTGAGTAACAGAAAACCCTGACTCAAGGGGTTTAGATGAGAAGATCAGCCAGGTGTAGTGGTGCAAGCCTGTCATCCCAGCACTTGAGAGGCTGAGGCAGGAGGATCATTGTGAGTTTGAGACCAGCCTGGGCTACAAAGTGATCTCAAGGCCAGCCTGAACTGCATAGTGAGACCTGTCTCAAAAAGACAATAAATAAATAAATAAATAAATAAATGTACTGCCTTGTAGAAGCCTCAAGTTAGGGTGTCCCATCTGTGCATTTCTTTGCAAAGTAAGGAAAATAAATTTTAGTAAGAGTTCTGCTAAATCAGTTTAGCAAGAACCTCCATCCTTGATGCCTGACCCAGTTGCTCATCTCCAGCACCCTCAGGGGATGTGAGCACCCGGGCTGTCTGCAGCAGGAGGTCCGCTGTGCCGATCTCACCAGACTCCCGCTTATTCCTGAGGTTTCATCTTGGTCATTTTCTATCCACTGACCCCGTCCGGCTCCTTGGCTTTAAATCCCCACTTGCCCTTGCATTCAGAGTTGGGCCCAGTATCTCTTCCCCCATTTTAAGAACCCATTGCAGTGGTCCAGCGCCTATCACAATGGTCCTGAATATGGTCAGGCTTACCAGCCTTGAATGATGTCACTGAGTACATTTAAAAAAATGTTTATTAGTACATGCTTGTCATATATAGTGCTCACATTCATCATAGAGAATTGGTACCTGTACATACTATATCTTAATTCTTTTTTTCCCAATCCCATCCTCTCCCTTCAACCCTTCCTCCCCTTCCCATTTACAGACACTGAATATATTTTTTTAAAAGGCATATGGGGACATGGCAGGATGTGCACCCCAGAATCCTCCCTCACTGGGCTCTGTGGACCCTAATAGAAGCTGGTCAGCCCCTCTGGCCTGCCTCGAATCCGGAGAGGGCTCCTCAGCTGGCTCAGGACACAGCTGGCTCAGGGCACAGCTGAAGCCGCTTGTGGTGAGACTGCCCTGCAGGGCATCCATCAAAGGGGCCTGAACCTCTCCTCTGCTCAGAAGGCTGCTTTCTGTCTCTAGGCAATGACCTCCTTTTTCTTATAACATATTCTTTAGAAAATTCATCACACAGTCTCACAAGCTATATGTAAATCTTTTTTAAAGCCTCTTGCCAGGAGACTTGTTTAAGCCTAGGAATGTGAGGCCAGCTTGGACAACATTTCACACCTTATTTCAAGTAGCTCTGTGACAGAGGGCTAGTGTAGTGTGCATGAGGCCCGGGGGGGGGGGA